AATAACCAGTTTTTATTTGAAGATGTAATGAGTCTCGTTAAATAAAGGATTTTTAAGATCCTACTTGTTCCTGGAGTCATTTCGTGATTCGAGTCAATTTTGCAACCACCCTGCACCCTCCCTCGCCATCTCTCCACTTTTCAAGAGGATTTGCTGCAGTCACGCGATAGAAATTAAAGCCACAGTAAGCGGAAATAGGAAATACGACTTGCCTTGTCGGTGGAAAATATTTCTTTTCAAACGAGGAGGCACGAGTAGGCTTGCCACCCGATAGCTTAGGCTATTTAAATCGCCAATTATCGAACTCTCTTAAAAGTCTTTTTAAAACTATCAGTAAACAACGTAAACAATTTTATTATAGACTTTGTTCAGCAATCGAACACTATATAACACCGTTGTGTACAAACTGTATTGTTATAATTTTCCAAATCGCGCCTTTCGCAATCGTCCTTCTTCCACTACCGTGTACCAGTAACCACTGTGTGCCACCACTGTGCCAACAGGAAATCTATTGTGCAATTTCACATGCCTACTGCAGTGTGCTTCTCTGTGAGATCAGCAGATCGTATCAATCTTGACATAATTTCACTTTAATTGCGGGTTATTGCACTTTCCTCAAAACAGAGGAAACATGTTGAATTACGTACAAAGAAACACTAAACATGACCGCAAAAAAATCCCTAGTAAAAGTGGACAATAATTTTTAACAAATAAATAATTGTGGAATAAATTCAAAAGATAGATTCCAAAAATGAACACAAATATTAATAAATAATATTGTCATATTCGATGTAATGATCATAGAGGAACGCCATCTTGGTTTCACTATGCTACGACTATTATACGATACATAATGAAAGTACAAATTTATAATACTTAGTCGACGTTGTAATGTCATGTAATATACATTTGCGCAACGAAATTTCACAAAAATTTGTGGAATAACACGGTAATAAATCTTCCCTGCACGAATCTGACGAGAAATTGGAAAGGTATTCGATCGACTGACGCGTGGTGGTAAAAACGCGTCATGGGGGTCTATCAACACCAGGCAGGCCAGTCTGGCCGTGGCCGAATTGAAAATAAATACGCCTCATCCCGATCTGTATCGCTGGGTCGACCGGTACAGGCAACTAAAATAGAGTTGCATTTAGAGCACCCGGTATATACGGGCTAGGAGGTCGTCGCAAATGACCGAGGAGTGCCAAATCTGAAAGATCACCTTTCTTCCGTCCTTCTTACGAGTTAGCGTCCCTCCTATCTTCTCTGTTCGTTACATCCCAACATTTTTAATCCTCCTCCATTTTCCAAAAATCGTTTCCACGAGATAATAGAGGAAAACCATAGTAAACACCATATGCCTATGACAATTATGGCAATATAAATAATAATATAGTTCTACGCTGTATATTCCAATCCATCTTTGCAACACGAACATCTGAAAAATATTTATTTAATAAACAATAAAATTATAAATAAATACATGTATTAACTACGATAAATAAAATTAATAAATAGTAGGAAACCAAGTGATTGGCCATTTAATATTTAAAAATTAAATTTGTCGACTATCGATGTTCAAAAAATCTGTGGTTTCTAAAAGTCACTAGGAAAATTCACTGGTTCGTCAAAGATTTCGCGATGAGCAGTAACCGAAAGCATAAAATGCTGCTTTCACCTACAGCATCCGGTTCGCATCTAAAGATTTCCGAGAACTGTAAAATTCTAATGTCTCCTCGAAATTAGAACGCTTTGAGACGTATTTACGACATATCGAGACGAGTCGTAGGAGCAGTCGCTGTTACCATACGGGAAAGTTCCGTCGTTTGCCTCCTATTTTCACCGGTGAGGTCGCCCCCGGTGCTCCAGTGGCGTCACCGCATTCATCATGGCACAGTATTTTGGTGTCCAGTGACGTACGATTTAAAGAACACCTAACGTCACCAAGATTTATTTGAACAGATGTATTTACACCGATGTCGAGGATAGATCCATTAGTCAGCCGCACGGTTTCAACTTGATAAATCCTTAATGATAGCGGGCCATCAATTTCAGAACGGATTAAGGGGATTTACCTTGAGAAGTGGAGCAGAGAATAAAATGGAGAACAAGATTGAACAACTGTGATTTATCAGCCATTTCTTGCTATCAAGTTAGGCCACGTGATCCTTGAGTTCTAATAAAATAATATAACACAATGCACCTTGTAATGAAATAATAATACGATAAAAAATGAAGAAAATTTTTATTGCTAATTATATTTTTTCCTTTTTCAGAACCCTATTTGGAATGTGCAGTGTTAACAAGTTCTCCTGAGAAACGAAATTCCTTTAAGATCCTTCACTTAGCACAAATTCAAACAAACAATTGCTAAAACCGGCCTTGTTAAACATTGACAATGGTCCACTGTGTCATTTGACTCTAGCAACCCAAACAGACGTTTCCAGTGCGAAAATATTCTCAGACGGAGGAACTAGAAGACGCTGTAAACTCTCAAATAACCAATCTATAAATATTCATCAATTTACGTTTAGTACCTAACCTCCAACATTAATTTTCACGGTAGATCATTTCAGGATCGACATATTCTGCGGAATTAGTTTCACAGAATTAATCAATTACAATTTCATTTACAAAAATCTTAAACTACGTAACTGGAAAAGAATTTCAGTCACGATATACGTCACTCCGAAACGAATATTTTCCTTCTGACACATTTTCCTGCGCCTACGATATTTTAGATTCTACGCCCAGATGACTCACCACGCATACAGTGTGTCTTAAACAACCAATCTCGTTTTAGAAATTTATACAACAATGACGAATAACTCGTTTCACCGTTCGCCGAAGGTCCGAACAAACTAGCGCCGCGTAGCGCGTAACTCCCGAAACCAACCGTGGAACAAAGAGAAGCAAGAAGCAGGAAATCGCGTGGAAACGGGTCAAGCGCGAGCTCTTCTCATTTTTGTCCAAGGAAACACACTATACGTGTGAAGAATCGTGTTCCAAAGCATCGTGGATGTTGCATCGCGTGGCTGTTAGCACGAGCAATGACATTTTCGCGACGAATATACGTGCGTGCAGCCTTGGAGAAGGCCTCACCTCAAGGACCGGAATATCGGATACTGCCAATGTCAATTTGGCTTGACGTTTGTCAGCATCTAGGTATGATTGCGCGTTCAACGCGGCTGCTTAACTCGAGGGCAGAAAGAATACCCAAACGCCCGCCAAATCTCGAAATACGAAAGTTGTCAAAACCATAGGAATCGAGTGTCGCAAGGTGGCGTTGCTAAATAGACAGGTCTCGATATTTCCGCGACGATTGTCATGTGATGGAAATTTGTTATGCTCCTCGTTGACGTCTTTCGCGACGACTTTCTTCCAAGAAATGGCAAATAGCGACATATGAATGGCCAAAAGTAAATGAGATTACTAAATGACACTCCGTGGTGCCATTCTGATGGAAATAAGGTAAATGAGGTAAAGTGTAAATACTCTAAGTGTAAATAAGATAAAGCGATTTCGTAGATTCTTTCGCGCTAATTTGTTGCTAATGATTCATGCTGTATGCGTAGACTACTAAGTTGCCAAAACGAAAAGGCAGGCTTTTTCCTGATATGGCAACGAGATATTAATGGGTTGTCACATGAGTATTTTTGTGGTGTAAAAGTGACACTTAATTAGACGATGACTCACGATCAACTGCTCAGACGATTATTTACGATCGAATCAAGTCTCATGATCGGTTGGAGCAAATGTGATGTTATCTTATTTACAACTCTCGTTTGTTGCTTATATGATAGTGATATAATCGTTTAGGAAACTATAATTATCCTATAATTTGTTTTTATCGAATAGTAATACGAATTATATCCACTGCTATTGGTAAATATTTACCGGTATAAAGAATTGATTTAATGGTAATTGTTCATCGAGTCAAATTAACTCGATAATATATGCGAAATTTTTATTTTATCGCTATATAAATTATGTTACGAATTTTGGAATTGAAATTTAATTTTATATTATACTATACTATATTTACAGCAGTATCTACAGTGTTATGCTATATATGTGATTATGGTACCCATGGTATTTCAGGACTAGTAATAGCACCTGTAGTATCTATGGTAGTTTGATATTATTTATAGCAATAACATCCATAGCAGTATAATTTATTAGCCAAGTATTACTACACCTGACGTTTAAAGATCTAAGACAACATTAAATATTGACTGACGCGAGTAAGAATTATAATATTCGCGTCCACCAGCCTTCATAAAAGTGGACGATTGAAAGCTATTTTAAATTACCACGAATCAAGTACACTAGCGCCAACGAATATTAATAGCAGACTCGACATCCACGTGCGTTTCCTTACTCTCTTCCTCTATAACTACCACGTATTAATCTCCAAACATTTTACGTTCCGCATGCTTAAGCTTGGAAGCACTGCGCAGAACAATGACAGGAACAAACTACTTCCTGAATGAAAATGGCTTCTCAAATCATCGGTACCTAACCATAACAGTCGTTATGCTAACACGTGTTACGCTTAGATATTCCGCTATAAATTCTCCAACCCCATTTATAATCATCAAAATAAATATACCCTATGCCCTGAAAGCGAGAAAACATTTTATCGCCATATTCGGTAACATATTTTCACCCTTATGTACCGGTGAAGAAAATTATTTTTCGTTCTTTTCTTTCTCGTTTATATTACAGGAGAAACGGCTGCTTTATTATCCGATAAATTCGTATTTCTAACAACACGCAGGTAGCCATAAAAAAAGAACGAAGATCAGAAAGACGTGGGCGTGCAGCGACCGTGAGGACGCGGCCGAGATGGAAACAAGTGGAGGAAAGGTACAGTGGTCAGGCGAAGAGGACGAAGAAGCTTCGATATGCGCGGCCAATCGACCAATCGCGGCCCGTTGGCGGGGGTTGTGCCATAAATGTCGCGTGGCGAGTCGCGGAAACTCGCCGCAGGTCGGCGCCACCGTACCGACGTTCGGTATACTAGTCCACATTTTTGGCGGCAGCCGCCCAGTCTACGGTCCAATCCCCGAACCGAACGGTCGTCCGAAATACTTAGGTAAAAAGGCTAATTTCCATCGACCACCGTACACCGGTCGAGATACGAGTTTATTTGCCAATTTTTTTTCTCCTTTCTCTTCCACTTCTGCTATACGTTCTGTCTATCGAGAACGATCGGGGAAGTTTGACGGAGAATCTCGATCGATCGCGCGACTGACTTTGATCGAGAGAGAGAGAGAGAGAGAGAGAAGGTTAGATCGATTTGGACGTTAAGGGCGGGAAAGAGATAGATAACCGTGAGTGCGACACTCTCGAGATTGAACCGACCCAGGACGATACCAAGAGGAACTGTTCCTTCGAAGGAGAGGGAAGATCGAGGATCTTCGTCACCTTGCTATACGATTTTGTTCTTCGCGTGTGCGCCAGTGAAAAGAGAAGGAAAGAAACGCCTGACTGGACGTGGGTCCGCTGCGCTTGTCCTCTGCGTATATTTAGTAGGAATTCGCTCTTCCATTAACCTAGACAGACTGCGCTGTTTTCGCACACTCACACACCTGCGATTTTTCGTTGTAACACCGACTTATTTTCCTCACTATGTTGTGTATAGTTTTAGGACTAATGTTACTAACTACCCAATTCACAGGGACTAATTATACTGCGAGCTAACCTCCACAGTGGTAATTCTCTGAGATGAAAACGATCATTTTATCAAATTAATGAACCGATGTCTAATAAAGGAAGCAAAGAATGATGGAAATTGAATTTTTAAAAACGATCGTTGCAGTCTTATTCGTGTGGAAGAAATATCCCTCGCTGTTTACGCCAAATGTTTTTACCATGGTAATACATGCATGACAATATTACCGATTGCGCGTGATAACTATGTTCGCTGCATTATAACACAGTTTGCGTGTTGCACGATTTAACGATACACGATATGTAAAGTATATTTCGCTGTGGACTGAATTAAGATCGAAAAGAGACGTACGGTAATAATAAATAAGAAAAGTGATATTATAATTAATGCACTATTATTAAATGTAGAAAATGATTCGGCAAATCGAAATATCAGTGACTCAGTGCGTTCAACGATCGATCGGTCGAACGTCGTGGAGACACCACGTTCGAGACACCACCGTCCCGAATCGAAGTTCTAATTTCGTGGAAGCGCGTTTGCAATAGTTGGCGCGACTCGCGTCTCGGTTTCGCTGCTATCGCATACCAATTCGAGGCACACCGACCGTTACTGCCGCGTGCTTCTCGAAAGGTAGTACAGATACGTAGACGTGCTCGTACGTGTATGCGTGCCAATCACAACCGAGCGAATTGTTTATAATAATTGGCAGCGATTTGTTTGGCAGTTATGTAACGCGCCGCGGCGTTCCTGTCGGGATAAAAATATCCGCGGGATGCCGCCAAGTCGATGTGTCTGTTATAGCCGCTCCCTTTCTGTGGTTAAACACGAAACACTTTTCGCCAGGCGGACATAGCGCCATCTCGACTGATCCACTTTCCGCGCGTCATCTGTTCCCCGTGAGCGGAACTGCATTAACAGAAATGATAAAAAATTTGGATTCTTGCTACAGGATTCTTCCATGATTCTTTCCAGACGCGATAGGTAGATATGAAGTTAGCTTTGAAACTCTGCAGTAGATAAAGTAGATTCCTACGGAATATTTCGGTTAAGGTAAATTTCCTGAAAATTGACGTTGGTAAAGGAAATATTGGTTGATTCGAAAGAATTATAGATTTTGAGGTATAACACGTGTACAATTATAAGAGACTAATGCGACACGCTCCAGATTGCTCATTCTCTTAATATCATACAGTACGTCACAAGTGCCAAGAGGCGCCTCGCGCCGCTTGACAAGTTAAACTACGCGTCTGACCGAATTAAGGCGTCACTACTTTCAGCCACATCCGGCTAAATATAACGTCGCAAAAAGGCGACTTTCTAGTCATGGTAGAACTTCGTTCACGAATCAAAACAATTATAATCGATTTCTGTCACTTACATTTCGAACCTTTTATCACATTCAACGCGTTTTAAATAATAACAAACTCAAAAAATTTTTGAAAATTATAACTATCCATATCGTAATTTACACGGTTGATAGCTGGAATGTGGTTTTCAATTAATGATAAATACATGTTACATAATTTCGTACCATAAAATATATAAGCTATTTGATTCCCAGTTTTTAATCTTAAACAGTTTCTTTTTAAAGCGGACGTGTTATGTAACAAGTATTTGATCGTACAAGTTGAGGGTTAAATATACAACATCGCTTTCATCTTTGAAATCTGGTTTGTTTTTCCGAATTCGAGAAAGCGTAATTCCCTATTTATTTTGAAAAGGGAAAATCTAGAATATTTATAGATAGACCTGATATTTATAAACAAATACCAATCTACTTAACTTTGCCTCGCATTTATCGTTACTTCTTGGATTTAATCTGAGATATTTACATTTAAATGCAAATTTGGGAATGCAATATCAAAATTATCCTAAAAGGAAAGAGACAAGTAATTTTGATTCCATTTGTTCGATTGAAAACTTAAAAAGTCACTCATCTCGGATGATAAGTTATCATGAATGGACAAAGTTTGGTACCTCCATCGAGTTATTGATTTCTAAAGAGTCTTTTCGAACCTATACTCGAGCAGCGTTAGAAGAAACTTTTGATGTAACCAGACGTTTGATATTTTCTGGGCTAAACTGCTTCTCGCGTTTCACCGCAACGTGTCGAGCTGGCTGTCTTCACTTGATAGTTAAAGTTTTAACATTGAAGGCCGATGTGCAAAAGTTTCCGCCGCCTGATACGACCTCATGCACCCTTTAACGAGTCACGCGAAACCACCACGCAGTTTAAAGAAGCATACTTTAGAGAAAATTCGTTCCGAGGAAAGTTTTCAACATGAACAACGTTTCTGACACTACTGCCACCATCAAATACACCTTTCCCTGACGTTTTTAATTCTTCTAAAACTCCAAATATCATTCTCAAATTAAAAAAGAATTCTTTATCCAATTGCGTGATAGAATTGCCATAAGATAGATTATTATCTATAACTTAAATTTGTTTTCCAAGATACACGTTTACTTCCTCGTGTTGGACATTAATTCAGTCATAAATTATACAACACATTATATAAAAATACATCAGCATTGACATTTGATTTTCCAAATCTCATCAGGGATTTACAGATATACTGCTACAATAAAATCTATACTAATAATCTTACAATTAATTTAATCTTGCCAAAGATTAAAACTGAACAAATATTAAGCTACATTGAACTTCAACGCAGACTCTCTACATAGCCAGGGCTCAGCAAAAATACCTCACAGTGAGACACAAGCACTTATATGACCAGTTCACTGGCCTATCTCTGCTAATCTAAATTTACAAGGAAATATAACCACATTCCACAAGCCGATACAAACGAAGCCTATATTTGTTTTGTAACAGAACTAGTTCAAGCCTAAAACGAAACACGAAACGTTTGTTTTTCAAATCTATCCGAAAGTCTGAACCTATTCAAAATATCCGTCGATCACAGCCAAGCCTTGAACACTCTTAACCGTGATACATTCTGATGGATCGTGTTGGCAGGGTACAATGAAACAATAGGTAACAGGTGGCAGGGCACCTAACGCTATCAGCTGTCATCGAGCTTCATCCACGTGTCTGCCGGTAGTCTGGCAAACGTCTCGATTATTCAATTCTCTCGGACGCCATTTACCGTGTGCATACGCGCCGTGATGACGCACGGAAGTGGAACGCGCTGGGCGAGGACCGAACGCGGCTATAGCCAGCAACGAAAAGTCACACCGTTGGTCGGCACGTATTTTCAGTTTTTGGACCTACGCCCCGGATGATTTGCTTGACCGCGCCACGGGTATTTTTAGCAGCCATCTAGATTACACGCGCGCTCTCCGGATGGAGATAGTCCCTCCACCTCCCTGCGCTACCACTTCCTTGCCTATATTTCTCGGTCTTTGAAAAATCGGATTCTTTAAAATTAACTAACCTCCTCGCACGCTGTGGCAGTGGCCTTTGCTTTTAGATTGGTGAAAATCATCCATGAGGCGAATCTGGACCTGTTGAAAATAAGGGGGAGTTAGGAGGGCTGTTAGAAGGCTTAATTGGGATTGAGATTACCTGAGGTAGATGAAGTAATGACGTACTGACATATCGAAGTAGGAAGAATAGAAAGTATTTTGGTAAGAATGAAGGCTTGAGGAATGTTCATTGTAGTGTTGTAAAGGTGGAATGTACTTTACCTAATTCCAATGGAATCTGTCTAGTGACTTTATTTCAGTGTGTGAACATAGTGGAAGAGTTGGGTTGTCCCATAACTGAAATATTTACAAGCAAATGTTAGAAAATTCCAATAAAAATAATTTGCAAAATACTTTAACTTACCATAATTAATAATCAATATTGAAATGTTTTTCAATACTCGAAAAATTAAAAATTATATAATACCAGAGTATATATTATATATTATAAAACCATAGTTAAAGATTATAATATATAATTTATAATTATATAAATTTACAATTTTTTCACAACTTCAAAATACAATTAGAACAACCTGTATAAAATTCTGAAACTATCAGGTATGTTCTCAAATGATCATTCAGCTCCTCAAATAACAAGCTGGTTCCAACCACCGACTTTCAACCTGTCTTATATGGAGTCCCATGGACTGAAGGGTGGCCGCGTGCTGTTTTATGGGTCATTATCGTCTTCGTAGGCATAAAGGAGCCCATTCCAATGGGGGGTTCGTGAAAATCGGTCAAAGTCAGACGAAGACTCGTGGGCTATGCTGCCTTCGCACAGCTTGGATGTCCACCTGTTTCCGACTAAAAACGGACCGGGGCCCGGGCAGCCTAAATATAGCGACCGCGAATCCGGGACTCTTACGTCACAACGCATCGTTCTGCGACCACGACCACCGAGCATTTTCTTATTTTCCCTTTTCCTCTCGTCGCGATCACGTATACGCTGCATAGTGTAGATTCAGTCAGGATTTTATCGTGAGATAACATAGGGTAACTCAATGACACATAGGGAATACACTGACTGGATCGGTAACTCTGAAAATGATAAATTCACTTATCGAGTAATTTTTAACAGAATTGGAAAATTCGTATTTGAATTGATCGAAAAACAATGAGGGCTAAAATTAACCTATTTGTGAAGAGTTGTTTATGAATTTGGTACAACATTATAAAATTCAATGCACGATTAATTAGAGTATGTTTTGAGAAATAGCAAAGAATTAATTTAAGCACAGCATTGTTCATGAAAGTCAGACTGTTGATACTAATCAAAATTTGAAACGATAACACTAAATATATATGTTTGATGACGTACCAGAAGTGGAATTTACATTGGTTATTCGTTAATGAAACTTTATCGGTTAAAACACTGACTCCAGTGGTATAACCAGCAGAGACACCTGTTAGTAAAGCGCAGTATTATCCATTGTTCTATTTTACCTTGGGAAGGAAAAATTGTATGGGATTAATTTTTGAATCAAACGAAAGAAGTATATCTTATCATAAAGCATTTTTAACCACTCTCGTTATTTAATTTCAAGATATTAATTTAAATTAAAATATAATTAAAACGCATCATATAATAATACATATGCTATTTATAGACATCGATTAATATCGATTCTTTTATAAACATAATAATACTAAAATCATTATTATACATGTAGAAAACTTCACAGATAAGAAAAAATATAACGAGAGAGATATTTATGTACATAAATCTCATACAATTCTCAAATTTAAATATGCATAAAATTCTAACCTTGCCAAAGATAAAGTTATCCTTAATCGGTATGAATACTTCCTCAAATACCTAATCGTAAATCTTAATGGAAACACTTTGAAATATAGTAACACTCATTAAGTTCCAACAGTCGATTCGATTACTACACTGAAATACGTTCAGTGACTAACGTAATTACGAGGAAATTAACTCGGTCGCCAGAAACAAGCATTAATGGACGACGGTCAATTTAGATCACGTATTCCAAATTTATTTCTGATGACCTTCGATTGCTCTTGCCGAGAATGAAATAGGAATACGTGCGAAAGCGTTCGGATGATCCAGGCCGAGTATGAAGTGCGCGCGTTGCTAAATTTAGCGACACCATTGCGTCAACAAAAAGAAAAGGCGATGCTCCTGTTTGTGTCGCAGTCCTCGATTGGCTGATCCAAGAAATGCCGCAACCAATCGTAATACACGTAATACACGTTCGCTACCTGAAAACGAAACGTCTACGATTTTCAAATACGAATACCAAATTCGAACTTCCTTATCTTATTCAATTAACTATTTCGTTGATACTTACAGAATATTAAAAACCTTTAATATTTAAAATAAATTTCTTCTTTCTCTTTTGTGGAATTAATCGATTTATCGAATAAGTATAACTGATATATTATTTTATTATATCAAAAAATCGTAATAAATTTGTAAAAATCTCAAATTTAGTTGGGACAAAATTGACAAAAGTAATTTTGATCTTGATACTAAGTATCCGATATTAGGTGTTAACGAAATATATTTTTTTGAATTTTAAATAGTAGTTGTAGGTGTATGTAACTAGAAAATTGAATTTATCAAGAACGATGAAGAAACCAACCGCGAAAAACGTGCGTGCTATATTTAGAAAACGACATCATGCCAACGAGCACCTATGCGAATTATCGTCCATAAGTTTCTTATTTTTAGCGCGTTCACTGTCTACTAACATTACAAGCCCTAAATTTGTAGCATTATTATGCTCGTATTCATAAAGCAGGAAACTTTATTTAAATTCGAATATAGAGAAGCAATTTTACATTATTACAACGGATTGTGATGAAAGTTCGAATTTTATTAATTTTAAAACTTTCAAAATTCCAAATTTTAATTTCAAAATATTCGACGCGAATTTCTGAAATATATAATACCTCATCGAAAAATAAATTTCTTTAAGACGCACTTCTATAAGTCAGTTATAAATCCTTTAAACAAAGGGATAAAATTATCGAATAGGAAAGTTTTTCTCAGAAAGAGGATCGATTGTTTGTAATTTTGCGATCAAACTTCTTCGACAGCTGAAACATTCTTTGTCGAAGTTTTCCTGGTATCCATTTTAACGAAGATCCGTTTATAACGCTGATAAACAATGGAATCTCAGAACGAAGTTCGTATAATGGACTGTGGAAAGGTTATGAGGAAGCACAAATTAAGAGACATGTTCTATAACAACACTTTATTTGAAACCTAACCTACAAATAAAATCTAACCTACAATTACACCTCGTGCACTTATTTTAAACTGTATTAATCAAATGACAAACTAATAACAAATTCGTATGTTTGCAAGAAAATAATATCCAGTCGCTTTCAAACTAACAATTCAGGAAGAGCAGTTCCTATATAAAATCTGAACGAAAATCGTCGATCTTCCCTCTCGAATCAGAACAAATTAGGTCGTGGAATATTTTAACGCGTTGAAAGAAGAAAGAAATAAAACGTGCTCGTAGAAATCATAAAAAGCTTGACCAGAGGTATTCAACGTAATTTATGTCTGTTTATTTCAGCGAACGAGTGTGGTTAGCAGTTCAGTAGAGCGGCAAAATGGACGCGCGCTTTAGAAGCAATCTCGACATGATCGGGCGCAACGAGCCCATCACAAGGAAGGCCAAATTCTGGCAGAGTTATGTTCGGGCCTTAAAAGGTATTCCTTTATAAATTAAACAATCTCAAACAATAGATTTAACTTTCTTCTAATTTTTCAACTAAACATAATCGTTACTGGATATTTTATCTATCAACTATAACTAGGCTGTTTTTAAAAATTTTTGCTGCGAGGAATACAGTTTTAAAATGTGATCTCATAAAAATTGAGGTCACAGCTTGTATCTAATGCGCTTTATGATAAATGTAACCGAGATACTGAAGTGAAGATAAAAATGAAAAATGTACTTACATATATGTACTCGAAGAAATTTACCAATAACTGTAAATAATGACAGGTACCGATGATATCAGAGCCCCTGAACACACGCACAGACCCCGCAGCATTTTCCGCTCGGATTATCCTGAGCTGCTGCATTCCACCTCGTGGCCATTTGGAAAATCTATCTTTGAAAACCCCATTCATGCAGCTGATCGCATCAATGTTCCTGGATACAGGTAAGATTACACCAGAAATTTCTTAATGGAACAGAGCATCACTTGCTGGAACTGATGACATTGATGTTTTAAGTAGGTAATTATTTTATCTATTTAGAAACGAAAGAAAGAAAATATTATTGAGAATACGATTACAACATAACACATTATCAAAAGATTGCAATCAAATATAGAAACAAAAATTTTGATTAAATATTAATTTAATAGCTTCTATAGGATATTTCAAAGTTATATTAATGTGAGTACAAAAGATATTTACACGCTGCTGTATTTTAGCTTCCACTATATGAAAATATTTTTATGCAATTAAACAAAATTTAACGTGAAAAGATTCGTTATCTCTTGAAAGCTAAAACTAAATTGAAAATGTATTCGATAGCAATTTTTTAATAAAACGTATATTGTTTCATCTAGGTACCTGCCCGTCCACCGTGAGATCTACGGTTATTCACCGAGGCAGATCTACCCGCATCAATACAAACCTATAGAACGCTTCACCCCTGGTACGTACTAAAGAACTCTGAGTACAAGTCCAAAGAGAGTGAACGACGTCGTAAAAACAAAACAAAAATAATACAAAAAGCACAAAAAAAAATCAAAGAGAAAGAATCGAAAAAGAAAAACAAGCGCGAAACGAAACGAAAAGTTTGGAAAGCTTATACGCTGTTGTACACACGCATCTCGAACGTCTACGAACGATAGAGAGAAAGAATAACTATAAAAATTCTAAAAAAAAAAAAAAAAAAAAAAAAAAAAAAA